ATAGTGGGGGAAGTTCTCATTTGAGAAGAAAAATTCATAACAAGTTAGGTCAGTTTATTTTTAGGATTCACAAATTTTATTCTAGTAATCAAACCAGATGCAGCTCCAAAGTGTTCTGTGTGTGTGTGTGTGTGTGTGTTCATGGCATGTGTTTTCTATACTAGATTATATAACAGAAAGGAGCCCATAAGAACTGGAGAGTGATTCCAAGGGTCCTCTGCACACACCTCTGTTACTACTCCATTTAGCCTGGGACCACAAATGAAGGATGATCTGAAATGTACAGCGTCCTGGAAAGAAAACCCGCTCTGAGTAGAGGGCAGGGTGAGAGAGCTCCCTGCCCTGCTCAGACCTGGTCCTAGGTGGGTGTTACTCCCACACTCTGGTGGAAGTGCAGGTTAGTGGAAGTGTGGAATTGGGTCCTTCAGACTTAAGTGTCTTTGGGCCAACTGGAGACTTCCTTGGAAAATGAGGCTCAGTGTCTTCTACAAGCAAATGGATAATATTTTCATTCAACTAGATTGGACAGAAAGCTCCATGTGCTTGGTGCTGTGTACTAGTGGACATCAGTGCAGCCCTTCCCTTTACCACCCATGCAAAAGAAGAAAACAAGGGGTCACTGAGGAGGAACAAGGAGCCAACAAGCATTCCAAACCCAAGGACACACCACTCTTCTGACTGGGACTCAGCTGATCGACTGTGAACTGTCTGGGTGTGGATGGGGTGTACCTATGATTGAATCTAGTGGAAGGACTGTACCAAACAAGATCATCAACAGTAAATCTCTTCATACCTGTTCATTATCCATAATGATCACTGATTTCCATGTAGCTGGTAGCCAGCCTGACAGGCAAGAGACTGCTCTGCTTTGTATGATGACACAAAGGAAACTGCACTTTTAATACTATACGTTGCTTTTGAAATGCTAACATCAATTAACACAGAAGAAGGAAATAACAGATATGGCCCTTAGTCGCAGAGGCTTTAATATTGACTCTCTGTTATGTATCCTGTGTCAGGCCTGAATCTTCTACAAACATCTCTTCATTAGTCTTTATGGCATTTCCTGTATTAACATCACCCTGCCCTGCTTTATAATGAGGAAATAAAAGCTTTGAGGTAGCGTGGGGATTAATGGCAAAGCCAAGCCTCTTGCACCCTAATCCCGTGTTCTTTCCAGAAGCTAATTGGCTGTCAGTCACTTCCTCTAAATAGCACATGAGGGTACTAAGAGCCAAAGGGACATGGGCATGTCACCACCCATGTGACATTCTCGTATGCAGAGAGAGGACTGCTCTTAATAAATATGCATAAATGCATTGTACCCATTTTATTTATGTATGTGGTACGTGTATACATACATACATACATACATATACACACACATATATACACATACATATACACACACATATATACACATACATATATACACACACATATATACATATATACATATGCACACACATACATATATACACGTATATATGCTGCATACATTGTATGTTTGTGTATATGGGTACATTATCGTATATATGCACATATTTACAGAAAATGGACACTATGTATTTAATCATATCCATGGGGAGTACTACCTACTTCATATATGAAGAATACTACATGTGTATGTGTATGCATGTGTACATATACATATAATGCATAAACATAGTATATATAATACCCAGTAAAAAATTTGATCAATATTACAAAGTGTCGGGAGCCTCCACACCGGAACCGAGCGCCCCTTAATCTTGAGTGATGAAGAGTGTGGAGATGTGGCAAGCCAGACATGGGCTGTGTGTGTGAACTATGAGCACTGAGCGCACAGGGTCGACTGAACCCATGTTGCCCCTCTGTTTGGGAGGGCGACATTAGTGTCCTTTATCTCGCTCTGCCTATGATCCCCACACAGCACATGAAATGGACGTGGCCTTCCTAGATGTCAGTCAACCTGCTGACTGCAGACATCAGAAGCTAGACTCGACCCCCTGAAACCTGACCCCTTGCCTCATCTGAATGGCTTCTCCCCAATAAAAGGGTTCAGCACCTGCTCCTCACTCTCTTTATTGCCTGCCTTGCCCCCCTTGTGGGAGCTGTGGCTGATGAGTGGTCACTGAACCCAAAGGAAAGGTTCTTTCTGTGTCTGTGTCTTTATTTTTCCTGGATTCACTTGGAGCGACCCTGATCAGTTTAGTCGTGTGAAGTGACGAGAAAGGAGATGGGAAAGGAGTCGTGCCCCTAATTCCCATGATGTTCGGGAGTCAACTGTATGTAAAGTTTTTATCTTAAACTGAACTGCAGTGGCCTAGGCTTTCAGCTGTCCTCTGCTTAAGATAATAAGGTATAGCCTCGCTGACTACCTTCTCTTAGGATAGAAGAAGAACTAAAAACAGAGTCCTAATGCCGGAGTTTGTTAATCTCCTCCAAGAGAAGAAATTGTCATCTTCAGGCATCTGGAGCCCTACTGTGTCACGGGTTCTTCACTACCCCACCCTGCTAATCATCTAATGAGATTTGCATCTGTTAAGGGGCTGACCCACATTACAAGTGTGTCTTGCAAATGCTTCCAAGAGGTCCTTAGGCTTCATTGGTCTTTGGCACTGTGCCAGGCATCCAAACCCAGATGCATTCAGGAACCAGACTGACAGGTAAGTAAGGGAAGCAGACAGGTGGCCTCTCGATCATTCTGTTGGCAAATTAAACATAGAGGTATCATTCTCTGCATCCATAAAGAAATGTGCAGGCCTCATACAGTCAGATTTCCTAAAAATGTTTTAGAGAAGCCTGATATTGATACTTTTATCTGATATTTCTTTATTGTTCAGCAGCTAATTTTTTTGAATACTTTTAAGACTCAGATGGACCCAGCCACAGCAAGGGTGGGTTTCAGTCCAAGCGCTCGGCAGTTCAAGGCCTTGTCCTCATTTTGCCGAGAACAATCTGTATCTCCTCTTCCAATCACCACAAGTTCAAAGGGAGTGTGTGTGCTAGTTACTTGCCAACGTTGGCTGACTGATGCTTGGGCCACCCCTTCATCATCCGGCCCCGCCTCTGATGCCTCTTCAGACACATAATCCATTCATCACATTCAGGAGCCACCTTCAGATAAGTGACCCCCTCTACATTTACCAGGGTGGCCACCATCCACTCACAGAGGTGGAGCCCAGAGGGTCCCGTATGTGCCAGGTTTCAAGGAAAGAGCCCCAGTTCCCTGCTCACCAACCAGAACTGCAGCCTCAGACCCATTCCAAACTAGAGTCTTAATTACTTAATTGAATATTTAAAATGTACACATGCACAAGGACATGCATTACAATTTCATTTATAATCATGAAAAAAGTGGAAATACCTCAAATACCCACCATAGTGTGAAATAATACACATTAAAATATATGAAACCAATGTATGCACACTGACACAGAATACTTTCCAAAATACATTGTTCAGTGAAAAGGCAAGTAACTAAATCTCACTCACACACACACACACACACACACACACACTATTTTCTCATTAATGGAATCATACATTTGTATCTATGTGGATGTAAACGTTAAGGATACACAGAAGGAAATCCCTGAAAACCAGTTGTCACCAGTATTTTCTCTGAAGATTGGAGTGGTTCTGGGAGTGGGAGGGAGAGGCATTCATTTTTTTGTATTGCTTGAATTTTTCAATGAGGTTATTTTCACACATGACTTATGCTACTTTTTAAGCATTATTTGAAAAGAGGTATCATTTGGAGTAGAAGGCACCTGCGAGATGCCAGAGTGGTGAGCCTTGTGAAGACGAGAGAGAGAGAGAGAGAGAGAGAGAGAGAGAGATTTTGTGTCTGGATGGTAGCCTCAACTACAAATCATCCTCTGCTTCCTCCCTGGCATGACTTATCCCGTGTGTCACGTTACCACTCCCTGTGTTCTGATGACGGGGATTTTTTTTTTTTCATTATATAACAGTAGTTATTGTGTTACTGCAGGATAAGGCTATGGTTAGTGAGTTATGGACTGCCTGGAATGCACTTTATCAGAGCAAACACTTGTAGATGAGCTAACAGAAGGTCAAGTCCAGGCCACGGACAAAAGTAAACTCACAATCTTGCCCTGGGGATAAATAGTCTGGGGCCAGATATTCCCAGGACAACAGTGGCAGGATATTTTTCCCTGTCAGTGAGTGAGATAAGAAGAATGTAATCATGAATGTCCCTAGGTAGCATGTGTGATAGGCATTTCCTCCTGGATCACCCAGATAATGCCAAGATCTGGAACAAGATGACTGCAGGGTTTGATGACTCCCAGCCTCCCCTTACCTCTCCTCCACCCTGGGAAGGCCTGGCTATGGCATGGCCCTCCTCAAATGCTTCAAAGTCTTCCTCTCACCTTTAGGATAACATCCAAGCTCCAGAGCAGCCAAGGTCCTCCATGATCTGGCTAGTCTTACTGGTTCTTATTTCTCCCTTTGTCCTTGTTAATACTCATCAATATTGGGCTCAGCGCGACTCTTACTTCTTTGTCCCAATTTATGCAATTCTCTTTGTCACAGATAGCCACCATCAACCTGCCCAACCTCATCACCACCATCTTGGATAGAGCCTGTTCATCATGTTTCTCTTCTTTCTACGGTGGCTTTTCACGGAAACTATTGTCCTCACCTTCTTTGGCCCATACTTAGCCCACAGATCTACCCCTCCCCATAAAAGCCGACTTTATAGGGAAACAAAATCTGACAAACTAATTCACATTGAATTTTTTTAGATGACTGACATCTGCTAACATAGGTGAGAGCCTTTCTAGACGGGGTTGTCAGATTGAGCCACAGGGATACAGAACACCCTGTTAAGTTTCAGATGAACAATGAATAATTGTTAAAGTAAGCATAGCCTCTACAATCTTCTTGTTCCCTAAATGAACCCGATAAACACCAAAAGCAGAACCACAGGTGTCAACCAGCAAGAGGAGAAGGCTTTTTCTGCCAGGGCCTTCCCAATTTCCCCCATCACACACCTGAGATAATGGCCTTCTCCTTAGTGTGACCCTAGTAGGTCCAGATGCTTGTCCTTGGGCAAGCCGTCTTCTCTGTCGTAACTCCCACCTCTGTTCTCGTGACTCCAAAGTCTAGTCTTTCCATGCCTCTTAGATGTGCTAGCACCAACTCTAAAACTGGATCCCAAAAGACTGTACCAGGAAGGCTCTTGTTCCGGGTATGTGATGGCCCGCACAGATTAAAGCAAGGCGATGTAGGGTAGGTTGCCTGGACACTGCACAGGCACAGTTCTTCAGAGGTTTTATGAGTACCTTGCTCACTTTCCAAGCAAGGCCACTCGGTTTTGATCCTTACCTGAAGACTGGAGACCTAGGAAGAGGCCAGCTTCCCGCTCCACTGCCCGCTTGATCACACTCTTTAAAGTCCTCTTATCTCACTGCAAACTGCCCTACACACTGCTTAGTGCTCACCCCCACAACATAGTTACACATGTTATTAAACTTATGCTGGTTCTTCTCTTATTAATCTGTATTTAGTGACAGGGATCTGTCCCAACTTTATTTATTTATTTACTTTTTTTTTTAAGCCCTGGGTATTGAATCCAGGCCTCATGCATGCTAGGCAAGCACTCTACCCCTGAGCTACATCCCTCGTCCTCAACTCAGAACCTTATAAAAGGTAGACAGATATTTTCCTCACAAATTCATTAAAAGACCCAAAATGTTTTCTAACATGAGAAAACAATGGGGGAGGGGCATTAAGTTGCGAAGAGGCATAAATTAACAACATAAGAGAATGACCTGGCATCAGGGTAGGAAAGTTACTGTGTCGAAGGATAAAATCATGGCAGTTTAATTTGAAGATATAAACTGGCTTTATTTTCTACTCCAGAATTGGGCAGAGAGAATGAGAGAATGGATATTCCGATGGGCAGAGTGAGGGAGACTGGTTTGTAGATAAAGAAAGAGGAAAGTGGGCTGGGGATGTGGCTCAAGCGGTAGCGCGCTCGCCTGGCATGCGTGCGGCCCGGGTTCGATCCTCAGCACCACATACAAACAAAGATGTCGTGTCCGCCGAGAACTACAAAAAAAATAAATAAAAAAAAATAATAAAAAAAAAAAGAAAGAGGAAAGTACAAACAAAAACCAAAAAGTGAATTCGTCATTCCAAAGTCACTTCCCTCATAAGGTGAGAACAAGAGGCAGAACAATAGGAAAATAAATGACCGGTTCACATCAGGTTAGCTGTGTTATGTAAGGATTAGGGCAGAGGGACTTCCTCATCACATTAACAAATCCTGATTTCTCAGGTCAGATGAATAATTGAGTTTCAACTTGTCCATCTGAAACCTTAGCATGAGTGACTCCATTTATTTTTGGTCTGATCTCTTGGGACTCAGTACAGGAGTTTAATCCAAAACAATGGCATCTGGTAATTTTAACAATTGTAAATAGAAAGAGTAGAAACAGGAAACCATTGTGATAATATAGGCCTAATTCAGAAGTTACAACGGTTACAATAAACATGACTGAAGTGTTCCTTCTTTTTATCTGTTAAAGAGTTCGTTCACAAACATTTAATACTATAAACAGAACAGTATGAGAAGGCTTGAACTGATATACTATCAGATATCTTGAATGCTTTGGAAGGAATCACATTCCCACGGTTATTATGCCATTATATACCCTTATTTACTTTTGGAAGACTTTCGTCAGGTAACAATTTGTCCAGTAACTCAAGTATGTGAAATAGCTGGCACATACCACGTACTCAAATAAGTATTTACAAAATAAACCACATTCCTCATTTCTCTAAAAATAGCCCCCATTCTGACATTATAGTGGTTGACTGGCTTCACTCCCACCCACCCACCCCCACCACCCATAAAGTCTACACATAAAGTCTCCTATCCATGAAATGAGCTGCAATCTTAGTACACAAATATTTTAAGATAGATCACACCCTTTTGTCCAATCATGTTTATGTTCAAGCTTCATGGAAACCAAGCATAAAGATGCATGGTTCACCCTGGGTCTTTGAGTCTTCCATCTCAGCACTCCAAAGTCACATAAAACTAAAGCCAAATAAACTTGTGTGCCTTTCTCCTGTTTACCTGTTTTTGTTTTGTTTTGTTTTGGTTTTTGCTTTAGGGACATCAGCCATGATCCTTTATAATGCACAGGAAAGGGATCACGGCCTTTCCTGCCCCATCCCAGCTATGACTTCTGTTTTTAAGTTTGAAAAGCAAATGAATAAAGTAAACTATTTCAAAGTAAACACAATTTCAAAGAGGAATTTTTAGCCTGCCTAAGGAAAAAAAATGCAATCAGGTACTACTGTAACACAAAATCCATAAAAATAAGAATTATGACAGCTAGAAATATGCGTCTTGCTAGTAATTGCCCCCCAGGCTCTTCTCACACTTAGAGTAGTTGTGCTGCACTTAAGAACAAATTATTATTAAGACTCTTCACTAATTTACACTGATACCCTACAATGCAAACACTAGTTGGTCTCTTTGCCTTAAATTCATAAAGTATCATAAATTCAAAGCTAGTTGGGCTTTCTCGGTCATTACATGCTTTTTTTGCTGAATGATGTCTTTGTGGGATCCATGTTTCTTGATGTAAGCAGCTTCATTTATTTCTCATTTATGGGTGTTTGGATTACTTGTTTTATTTTCTCCTAATACAGACAGTACTGCCACACACATTTTTATACGTGTTTCCTTATGCACCTGTTCAAGTTTCTCACTTCCTCCCTCCCTCCCTTTCTCCTTCCTCCTTCCATTTATCTATCCAAACATCTCTCACTTCATCCTCGTTTTTATATTGGGTGTTTCACCTCACTTAATGGTGCCCTCTTCTGAAAGAACAGAAAAGTTCAGGTAGTTAACTGTTGTCTTTCTGTTTATTGATGTGGGTAGGGTTTTGAGTCCTCCAATTTTATAGTTCTCTTTTGTCCTATAGGACTCTAAATTTTTCCCTTCCTTTCTTCTTTTTCCCTTCATTACCAAATTACCAAATGGTTTGCCTACCTTCCTTTGGTCCCACTTCTCCCTTAAAACCATGATTGCAAAGATTCTCTTTAAATGTAGCCTACACCTGTCCCATTAATCCTGGACAGCCCTACGCAGGGGTGCCTGGTCCTTGAAATTGCTAGTCCTGAAATTCCTTCTCAGTACTCTGTGCTCTGATCCACTTAGATGCTTTCCCATATTTTCTGACATAAGGTGCATCTAATCAATCTAGAGCTTGCTTAACTCCCCCTGCACTAGCCTCCTCTTCTTTCTTTCATGCTGTTTTTCTTGGTCTGTCCCTAAAAAGTCTCGCAACCTGATGGGGAGGGACAGTAGAGGGACCTTCCTCTTTTTCGCAGTTACTTTGCAGTTTTGTGTTTCTCTCAGGGTTAACAGGGGCATGTTTTGACGAGAAATAACTTTTTCTTTCTAGTTGTTTGAAGTCATTTGATACAGGGATCCTGGGAGACGGGCTGCTATGCAGCCACCACTGTCCTCCCTGCTACAGCTCTTTCTGCCCATGTGCAGGCTTGTGCAGATGTGTTCACTGAGACGGTGCATTCTCGGAAGGCAGCATCTTCCTGGTTCCTTGCCAATGATTAGCACCTGCTAGAAACTGTTCACAGAGATTAAAACCAACCTAGTTAAGAACAAAGAAAACTACACTTATTAGGGACTACTTAAGATTACAATCTGAAAAAATAAATTCAAGCAGCCTCAAAAATGTGCTATGATGTCTTACAAACCAGCAGCTGTGTTTATAGTTGTTAAAACACAAGTGGGTTGGAAATTACATTTCTTGTTTGTAAGGAATTGTGGTTGGTGCTGGCAGAAGTTAAACTGTCCGTGAGAAAGAAATTGGGTTCAGTCTCAGGCTCTGGGTAGTCTGGGTGAAAGGATCCCATATTCAGAGGGCAGCAGAGGTAACAATGTTTCAAGGGTCAACTGCATGACAGAGAGGTGGGGTAGTTCAAGGATTCAGCTGCAGAGGCATCTGAAATCTGATTCAGAGTGACTTCCCAACTCCATTCTAAGTGCCCCCAATCAATGCTATGATTTTTTTATAACTTTTAATTTTCCCCTTTGACAAAACTAAGTGAGAAGTTGAGACTCTATCATTTGAGCATATGGGCTATAATGCAGGCCAATTCCAGTATCAACCGTAAGTTACTCTCTGTATTAAAATATTATTCCAAAAATTTATTATTAACTCATAGCATTGACTAGTAATCAAGGAACTTATAATCACAACAAAGGGAACCGGGTGTGGCTCAGTGGTAGAGCGCTTGCCTAGCATGCATGAGGCACTGGGTTCAATCCCTGGAACCACATAAAAATAAACAAATAAAATAAAGGTATTGTGCCCATCTACAACAACAACAACAAAAAATTAAAAAATCACAACAAAATAGTGTTCCAAAATGTTAATATCAGCAAAAATAAAAGTCTGAAAACATCAAGTGTCAGGAAGAGGAGGAGGGGGAACCCTTCACTGTGGAGGGAGCCCAAGTTGGTGCACACCCTGTGGACAACAATCGGTCAGTATCTAGTGAAGCTGAAAATATGCCTATCTTGTTTACTGGTGCCTGTTAATCATTCAGAACGGGGTTTCACTGGGACACACATGCATGCAACACAATTTGATCAATTTCATTCCAGTACCTCTCTCTGCCTCCCCTCTGTCCTTCCCTGATCCCCTTTCTCTACTCTAATGCTCTCTTAGCTTCATGAGACCCTCTTCTTTTTCCTCTTTTCCCTCTGGTTTCCACATATGAGAGAAAACATGGTGCTTGCCCTTCTGAGTCTGGCTTGTTTCCCTTGACACCCCTGGACACAGTTCTCTCCAGCCCCACAGCTTTTCTACAAATGATGTCATTTTATTCTTCTTTATGACTGAATAAGACTCCATGTGTATCTATACACCACATTTTCTTTATCCATTCATGTTTTATCTGATACCTAAGCTGATTCCACATTTGGCTACTGTGAATTGTACTGTTATAAACTTGGGAGCGCGGGCTGAGATTGTGGCTCAGTGGTGGAGTGCTCGCCTAGCACACGGGAGGCACTGGGTTTGATCCTCAGCACCACATAAAAATAAAGAAATACATAAAATAAAGGTATTGTGTCCATCTACAACTTGAAAAAAGAATTTTTGATTTTTTTAAGAGAGAGTGAGAGAGAGAGAGGATTTTTTTTAATGTTTATTTTTTAGTTTTCGGCGGACACAACATCTTCGTCTGTATGTGGTGCTGAGGATCGAACCCAGGCCGCACACATGCCAGGCGAGCGCGCTACCGCTTGAGCCACATCCCCAGCCCCAGAATTTTTGATTTTTAAAAGATAAACATGAGAGTGCATGTATCTCTA